AGGCAAAATAACCCTACAGGCAGGTCAACTCTGTCACATGGGATTCCTGGGAGTTTGAACCATATTGGCAGCACTCAGCACCAGTATAGAATGCATACATTCCTATTAGTCTGAATAAAATAAGAGGACTAAAGAACAAAAGCAAAGCACAAACTCACTGCCAGAATCCATTCCAACTCATAGTGACCCTATAGGACTACCTATGTAGCATTGCCCTTTGGGTTTCTGAGACTTTACGTCTTTACAGCAGTGGAGAGTCTCATCTTTCTCCTGTGCAGCAGCATGTGGATTCAAATCACAGACGTTGTGCCCAACAGCTCAAGGCAAATCCACTATACCACGACCACTACCAGGAAAGGGACCACACAGCAACAAGTCTTTGGGCGATTTCCATTACTTCATTTTCACTTGCTTTATTTGAATTTCTGTTGTATTTCAATTGATTTAGTTTTACTGGTACTCATATGAACAGGAATAAAAAAATGAGTCTACTTTTCTAGTAGCAAAACCAAGAACAAACTTCAGAGATCAATATATATAAGAACAAACTTCAGAGATCAATATATATATCAATCAAAAAATATATATCTATATATCTATATATTGATATATATCAAAATATTTTGATATATATCAAAATATATATCAATATATAGATATATATATTTTGATTGATATATATTGATCTCTGAAGTTTGTTCATATATATATGTTGATCTCTGAAGTTTGTTCTTATATATATTGATCTCTGAAGTCTGTTCTTATATAAAAAAAAGAAAAGAAATGTAAACCTTTTTTTGAGGTGTTTAATGCTTTTACTCAACCCCATACAAAACCAACCAACCAGCCAGCGAGCCATTTCTAACTGCTAGCAAACCTATGTAGGGTTTCTGAGGCTTTATAAATACTTAGGAGTAGACAGCCTCGTCTGCTTGCAGGGACTCTGGGCCAGGATCAGATGAAGGGAGTTAGCAGTCCAATGCGTATCCTACAGTACCACCAAAGCCCTGGCAACCACACAGAGTCATCCAAATGACTACTTTCTTTACTATTAAAGA